ACCCGGCGCCTTACAACATATGGAAAGTACCAACATACCACGAAATCCAGCATCACGCCCTCCATCACACCTTCCCGAAGGCCACTCCGCTGACAAACCCGCTACCCTCCGAAAAACCACAAACCCTCTGCACCTACATGAAGGTTTCCGAAAATTCAAGGATGCCCGCTTTGGGTTCTTGCGCAAAGATACCGATGTGTTTTGGTGATCCTTTTTTGTGGAAACAACAAGCCGTAAACCCAAAACTAGGCTCTATAGGCCCTCTGTTGAATAACCCTAAACCCTAAACCCTCAACCCTAAACCCTAAACCCTACACCCTAAACCCTAAACCCCAAACCCTAAACAGCCTGGGTTCTGAAAGCACGCCGTCGGAGTGGCAGGTACATTGGCGCCGCTGGGGGTGCCTGCACAGGCTGTGTCTTAAGGCTTTTAAAGCTTTCGGTAGGGTTTAGGGTTTAGGGTTTAGGGTTTAGGGTTTAGGGTTTAGGGTTTAGGGTTTAGGGTTTAGGGTTTAGGGTTTAGGGTTTAGGGTTTAGGGTTTAGGGTTTAGGGTTTAGGGTGTAGGGTGTAGGGTTTAGGTTTTTTGGGTCTTGGGTTTCAGGGCTTCAGAGACGCTCAACCCTAAACCAGAAGCTTATAAGGGGTTAGAGGTTTGGAGGCTCGGCTGGTACCAAATGAGCCCGAAAAGCGTGTGTCCCAACTTTGTAGGCTAAGCTGGAAAATCCAACACGGAAACAGCTGTCCTGCAGGATTCTGGAAAGCCCCGAGCGGCGTCTGCGGAATCGCGCCGCTGGGCGTTCCTCGTCTCTTGGCATGGCGATGCTCATGCATCGTATGGATATAGGAGACGATTTTAGGGATAACGGCCAAAAACTAGCGGAACCGGAAACCTGGACCCGAACGGTGGCCATAAATTCAACGCAACGAGTTGATGCACATGTTTCAGGGCAGATGTGAGGCAGGCATCTCGGACAGTTGCATTGTGCAACAGCGACACTACTCCTAAAACTTACAACTTGTATACAGCCCCAAATCCTGCAGCAGAAGCCCGAAACACTCATATCCTTCCTCCACGCACACACACACACAAAGAGAGAGAGAGAGAGAGAAGGGCAGTACTGGGTCCCAGAAGAACCCTTACAAGGAATCCAACCGAATTTAACCCCCAAAGCAATGGAATATCCTAAGCCCCAAATCCTAAACCAGAATCCCCTAGACCCTAAACCCTAGACCCTAGACCCTAAACCCGAAACCCTAAACTTCCCTAAACCCTAAACCATGTGGCTTTTCAGAACTGGGGCGTGTGATGGGTGGTCCTCCAGCACGAAAAGCAGCGGTCGGCGTTTCGGGAATCGCGCCACTCGGCGTGCCTGCGTGTCTTGCAATGTGACCAGGGGGCTCTCTGGGGTGTCCTAAACCCTAAACCCTAAACCCTAAACCCTAAACCCTAAACCCTAAACCCTAAACCCTAATTAAACCCTAAACCCTAAACCCTAAACCCTAAACCCTAAACCCTAAACCCTAGACCCTCAGCACGGGTGGGTCCTCCAGAAGGCCGGTAAGCACCCGTCGGCGTTTCGGGGATCGCGCCGCTCGGCGTGCCTTTCTTGCCATGTGTGCACCCTATATAAACCCCAAACCCTAGCGTTTAGGGTTTAGGGTTTAGGGTTTTAAGGTGTAGGGTTCGAGAATTCGGGCTTCGGGTTGAGGGCTGAGGGTCTTATCCCGGAAAACCATAGGAAACAAAGAGCTTCAAGAACTCTCGCAAGTACATGTTCTACAATTCTAACTTATTGTTATTGTTGTTACGATTTGTAGTCTGAGGGGCCCTAAACCCTAAGCCCTCAACCCTAAACCCTCCCGTCTTCTCACCTGACGCCCCGCCATCGGACCCATCTCGATGAGTTCACCTGCTTCAGCCTCCCCGTAACACTCCGCCTACCTCAAAAAACACGCCCCGGCCATAGCCAGGTGCTTGCGGAGCAGTTCTGATGAACATTTCCCGCAAAGACTCCGGAAACCCTAAACCCTAAACCCTAAACCCTCAACCCTCAACCCTAAACCCTAAACCCTAAACCCTAAACCCTAAACCCTAAATCACACCACTGAACTGGAAGATGCTTACTGTGAAACGGAAGGTGTGAAGGTCCGGATCTCCGGTTTAGGGTTTAGGGTTTAGGGTTTAGGGTTTAGGGTTTAGGGTTTAGGGTTTAGGGTTTAGGAATACCATGATTATATTCCCCAGCCCGGCACAAGATGTGCCTCGTGCTGCGAAAGCAGCTACCGGCGTCTGGGGAATAGCACCGCTGGGAGTGCCTCGTGACTTGACATGCGTGCATGCATGCATGCGTGCGTGCCCGTATGTGTGTGTGTGTGTACTCATGCCAGTAGCTTGCAGCAGTAGCGTGCCCGAAGACGTTCATAAACATGATTATATAATTGCCAGACGTGCCAGCTCATGGTGTTCGGCACTAATTATCGCGAACATGCGTGCCCCAAAAACCCCCAAGCCGTAAGGTGTTCCAATCCGTATGTGCAAAGATCAAACCCTAAACCCTAAACCCTAAGCCCTAAACCTAAAACCCTAAAACCCTAAACCCTAAACCCTGAACCCTAAACCCTAAACCCTGAACCCTAACCCTAAACCCTAAACCCTAAACCCTAAACCCTAAACCCTCAACCCTCAACCCTAAACCCTAAACCCTACCACCACCATCTCCTGTCCTGCGGCAGAGCTGGGGAAAGCCGCTGTTGGCGTCTGGGGGACAAAGCCGCCCGGTGAGCCTCGTGGCTCGACAAATGTGTGGACGACTTGGGTTTAGGGTTTAGGGTTTAGGGTTTAGGGTTTAGGGTTTAGGGTTTAGGGTTTAGGGTTTAGGGTTTAGGGTTTAGGGTTTAGGGTTTAGGGTTTAAAAGTTTAGGGTTTAGGTTTAGGGTTCAGGGTTTAGGGGTTTAGGGTTTAGGGTTGAGGGCTGCAAATATTGTAATATCGCAATTATCATAAATAGATTAATACAAATACAAAAAAGAATATATATATATATACTAAAGTCGCGGATTCAAAAACTGGTTGGCTTGGAAAAACAGATGTGGGTGGGTCTCTAGCTTTTGTGGGCACCGTCAAAAGTGAGGCTGCGCACTGCAATCGGAACCCCAAAACGGAGTGCAACTTTGAGAAGCCCGATGCGTTAGAAAGCCAAGGCTTGTTGTCAGAACACTAATCTCGGCCGTTTCGCCATGTACCGCGAGTTGGAAGGGCTTGAGGTGCTTTTTGCGTTGAAGGTTCAGGGCTTGCGAGGTAGCCCTAAATCCTAAACCCTAAGCCCTAAACTCGAAACCCTCAACTTACGTGCACACCATCCTCCCATCTCCTCCCTCTTTGTCGTCGATAACCAGGAGGGTGGGGAGTGGGAAAAAGAACTCAACGCATTCGCGCGTCAGAACAAGATTTCATTCTGAAGCACAGCAGTCTTAGGGTTTAAGGTTTAGGGTTTAGGGTTTAGAGTGCAGTGCTCTGAACGTTGGTAATTGTTTTTCTGAATCGGGAAAAAAGGGGGCTTCTCCAAACCCAAACCTGGATGTGCGGGTGAAGGTGTGAACCAAAACCCTAGTTGCTGAGTACCCTGGGCCAAGCAAAAAAGTTAACTTTTCAATTATGGTAAGATTACACACATCTATTTATGTATTATACATATATATATATATATATGCATATCCCAAAAGGCTTAAGGGTGTACATATATATATATATATATACAAGTATAAGTATATACACCCCAGAAGGCTAAAGGTTACCTACTCAGCTACAGCTACTCAGAAGCAACGGCTGGCCGCGCAACACTTCGCGGTAGAACAGGAGGAGATCGAAGCTGCGAAGCATCGTAGTTTACAGCTAACTTGCCCCAAACCCTAAACCCTAAACCCTAAACCTCCTGACAGTTGGAGGTTTTGAGGATGAATATATATATATATATATATGCGCGTATATATATATATATATATGCGTATACCATGTAGCAACATTCTGCAACAAAAAAGTTATGACAAAAATAGTGTCAAATCATAGGAAGCAGAAGCAGGGTCAAAACCTCTACCGCTCGCAACGGTCCTGGTCGGAGTGCAGCCGGCGTCACGGGGACAACGCTACCTGCGGCTGGGGTTTAGGGTTTAGGGTTTAGGGTTTAGAGTTTAGGGTTTAGGGTCTAGGGTTTAGGGTTTAGGGTTCGGGGTTTAGGGTTGCGCTTCGAGGCATTCTTCCTTGACCAGGTTTGAGGCTTCCGAACATTGTTATTCTTACCATTGTATAATTGTACTGTATTCGTATAAACAGTATTGCTGTTTGCTATCTTGTATAGTGCTAGTACTGTGATAAATAAATATAAATGTACATATATATATATGTGTGTGTATATTTGTTTATATTTATATATGTATATATATATATATGTATTCTCTCATATTCATGACCCATAATGCTTCGTCCTTGGTAGCCCCCATACAAGATTGCGTGAAGCAAACGCGTGCCTTGGGATGGACCTCTGCCGACCACGTTGAACCCAGCTTGGCTTGATTGCAGTTTGCGGAGGCGGGCTGCAGACTTTTCCTGCAATTTCACATCTAGGCTAGGTTTGCGGATCTCCGCGGGTTTTTCAGAGGAAAATCTTTGCCCACCAGACGCACCAGCACTTCGTGCTGGTTAATGAATCTGAAGGCATCTAAAGTCCCTAAACCCTACTAAACCCTAAACCCTAAACCCTAAACCCTACACCCTAACGTGGACCTTTGCACGACTGCACGCTGAGCCGCCAAATTAGCAGCAGCCTTCTCCTGGCTGCCTTCCATGCACCTACCTGCAGCCTATATTGCTGACAAGCCAAACTTTGATAAAGGCATAGGGTTTAGCATTTAGGGTTTAGGGTTTAGGGGATAAGCTGTACAAAGAAGCCCACTCAGCTGAAAGCCGCGCGCGGCCTCTACATTCTTGCGACACGTGCGGCTGCTAGTAGTCATCGTCGTAGTCGTCATCGTAATCATCCTCATCGAGCTCATCGTCATAGTCATCCTCCTCATCGTCATCCTCTGCCAAGCCCTCTTCGAACTCATCCTCGTCAAAGTCGTGGACCTGTGTCGGCTGTACTGGCTGTGCCAACTGCATCGGCTGGGCAGGCTGTGCCTGAAGCGGTGCCTGAGGCTGTGCCTCTGCGGCACTTGGGTGCATGAATTGCTGCGCACCCATCATGGCGAGGCCCATGCCATTGTCCATGAGGCCACCACCCCCCATGGGGCCTCCCATGGAGCCGGCCCCGAAACCACCGCCGAAACCCCCGAAGCCCGCTCTTTGCCCTGTGCCGGCCCACCCTGCGGGCTGACCGTTGGCAGCATTGCTTGCGCACTGGCGTTGCTTGCTGGTGGCCAAGGAGGTCAGTGAGAAGGACTGCTTCAAGTCCAAGACCATGGAGGAAGCCTCAGTAGCCCAGTAGCCACTTTGCAATAAGGGGAACTACAATAAGGCACCCGTCTTGGGGTTGGCTCCTCACAATAGGAACCGCATGACCCAACAAAAAGAGGGCAAAAGGGTACCCCCCCAACCTCCTTCCCCCCCCCCCCAAACCCTAAACCCCAAACTCAAACCCCAAACCCCAAACCCGAAACCCTAAACCCTACACCCTAACCCCCCCCCCCCTCCCCCCCAACTGGGCTGCCAAGAAGCCAGCTGAGGGATTTGGCTGTAGCCGGCGTCGGCCAGCCGGCCTCGCAAGTGCTCCAGGAGGTCTAGGTGGCTGACCTTCGTAAACAGTTAGGGCTTAGGGTTTAGGGTTTAGGGTTTAGGGCTTAGGGTTTAGAGTTTAGGGTTTGGGGTGAAGGGTGTAGGGTGTAGGGTTTACTACAATCCCGTTAGTATAAGAACGAACCTCCCAAAAAGGGCACCCTTTTGGGGGGCTACTTTTTCAAGGGATACCGGAACCTTAAAGCCAAAACAAAAAAAGCGGTATACTACAGGGGTCGGAGAAATTCCGCATATTGTTCTCTTCGGGTCCCTTTATATTTATACTACAAGAACCCCCAAAACCCCTATTCTCATTGTTCAGGCCCCTATAGTACATACTGGGCTACCGAGTGATGCTGCTCCCTATTCCCTATTCCCTAAACCCTAAACCCTAAGACGAGCGACGCTGCTCCCCTGCAAGATCGCTGGATCCATAGACTCGATGAAGGCGCTGGTCAGGGCTCCTCCGGCCGTGCTGCGGCCGCCGTGGCGGACGTGGCCTCCACCTTCGGGGCCAATGTGAACCCCTAAAAGGGTTTAGGGTTTGGGGTTTAGGGATCCACATATGAACCCCTAAAGGGTTCATGGGCTCACATTCCCTTAGAATATGAGTTGTAGTAGTATAGTATCGCACATCCCCAAAAGGGTTTGTGGGCTCATCTATCTCGGAAGTATAGTTGTCTAGTATGGTATATGTTCAGGATCCACCATGAACCCTACAGGGTATATGGGCTCATATTACCTTGTAATAGGAGTCATAGTAGTATAGGGACCACATGAACCCCTTTTAAAGGGCTTTATGGACTCATACTACCTTTCCGCGAAGGTATAGTAGTATAGGGTACGTAGATGACCCACAATTTTTAGGGCTCACTTTCGTCCGTAAGGCACCTCCCACGGGCAGTTGAAACTCGGAGTGGACATCTCCCACATCGGCACTGGTCCTTAGTTGCTGAGTTCATAAGCCCCCCAAAAGTGTACACTTTCAGTTCTATAGGGGATTAAACCCTAAATCCTAGGGGATTAAACCCTAAATCCTAAACCCTAAAACCCTAAAACCCTAAACCAAAAAAGTACAAAGTGTACTCACTCAGCTCCTCAGGGTCTGATCTGACGCGCATCCGGTGATGGCCACCACCTCACCGACGGCCAGGCCAACGTTCCCTGGCTCATCTTGGCAAAAGCCTTCCTGGGGGGGGGGGGGGGGGGTTCCGAAATTGGGGTTTGGGGTTTGGGGTTTGGGGTTTGGGCTTTGGCGTTAAGGGGCGGGGGGGTTCCGAAACTAGAGGTACCTTGTTGGGATCCTTATTATAAGGGAATCCTCTGATTTGGGGATCTATATTGGGGGGTCCCCCTATTTTCGTAAACACCCCTCCTGGTTGGAAGATGTCGAGGCCTTGTACCTGGACCACATGTCCCAAAGCCCGAGTCCCACGGAGGCGACGTCTCCCATGAGCCTATACTGAACTTGGCACCCTAGCAAAAATCATCATGTGAGCTGTTCCTGAGGGATTATAGTACCAAAAACAACATATTTTAGCTGCTCCTTAGGGATTATAGTACCCAAAAATAACATCTTTTAGCTGCTCCTTCGGGATTCTCAGTAGCCAAAATGATTTCCAAGCACCCCTCTAAGGAGCGCGGCCGGGTCGTCCTCCCAGCGCTCGAAGTCTCGAAGCCAAGGTTTGGACATGGCCATCTGCATCGCCTCGCCTGCAAGCGCCCTCTTGATGTTCCTTTTTTTTCTGAATCTTGGGGGGAACCATGGCAAAAAAGTATGCAAATTTAGCTGTTTCTTAGGAATTATGGTACCCAAAAAGTATATAAAATTTAGCTGCTTCCCAGGAATTTTATCGTACCAAAAGTTAAAAAGATTTCCAGGTATCCCTGAGGCTCTCCGGGGTGCCCATGAAGATGTAGGGGAGATCCTTGGTTGCTGTTTTATAACCCTAACCCCTAACCCCTAACCCCTAACCCCTAAACCCTAAACCCTAAACCCTAAACCCTAAACCCTAAACCCTAAACCCTAAACCCTAAACCCTAAACCAAAAAAGTGTAAAGTGTACTCACTCAGCTACTAAGGGTCTAGGGCACCGGCACTGTGGCAGGCATCGAGGATGCAAGTGAGTCGGCAGCCGCTCGGCAGAGGCCGCACCAGGCACTCAAAGAGTTCCTCGGATGGCAGGGAAAAAGTGGTTTAGGGTTTAGGGTTTAGGGTTTAGGGTTTAGGGTTTAGGGTTTAGGGTTTAGGGTTTAGGGTTTAGGGTTTAGGGTGAAAAAAATTCCTGAATAGGATTCTCTTAAAAAAAGCCCAAAAATAAGGGAAAATATCATAAACATGTCCCAAAAAAGGCCTACACCGAGGTTCGCTGTCCCATAGCATGCCCGCCTCCTCCATGTCCACCGGGCAGAGTGTCTCGTGCCACTCTCCCCTGCCATCGGTCCTTGGCTCCCGGCCACCATGCCCGGAGTAGTGCATGAAGAGCGCATCCCCAGCTGCTGCCCCTGCGACCAGCCAGGACATGGCTGCTTTGATGTTGGCCTTCGTGGGCCTCTTGTCTGTCGGCCAGTCAGGAGAATCCAGCAGCACCTTGCAGTGCGCCTCATCCTCTGGGAAACCCCAGCTGTGGATCAGTGGAAGCATGCGGTGCACGTCGTCGACGCAGCCATGCAGCTCCGCTTGGGACCCATAGTAGTTGATCCCAATGAAGAGACTCTTACGTCGGCCCTTGAGCTCACCACTTGGGGCCTCTGCATCCTCGGCCTTAAGCCCATTGGGATCGCTGCTGGGCTTCTCTGAAGCCCCCGTGCCTGGACTGGTGTGCGCGGCAGTCGCGGGCTCCGATGCCCTTCTTGCTTCTTGCAGCACCGGAGCTGCGAGCTGCGCGCTGGCCTCCCGCGTCTTAGAAGCATCTTGCAGGGTGCCCTGCTGGGCAGGCAGGGCAGCCGCGCTGCTGTAAGGTGCATACCTTGGTAGCCCAGTAAGCATAGTGTAATAAAGGGCACCTTTTTTTGGGTTGGTTATTTCATAAGGGAACCATAACCAAAAACAAGGGTACAGCGTACCACTGGGCTAGCAAGATACACACCCTGCACACCGTCCAAAGAGCGCTGTGCCACCAGTGGAGCCGGTGCCACCTGTGGGGGTGGAAGGACCAAAGGCGCCGCGCCGATGCGTGGTGGCGGGAGGTAGAGAGGCTCAGCCTGGATCATGCTGTCCGACAAGTCCACAACCTCGTCAGCGCAGGGCACGTGGCTCCACACACTGGGAGAATCCGCAGAGGGTAGGGCCGCATCCTCAGGCCAAATCTCATCCTTCGAGTTCACCACGCCCATCTCCACAAAATCCCGTGCTTGGTGCGGGAAGCAACGGCAATTCTTGAACCAGGGTAGCCCAAAGGCTTACTGTCGCAAAAGCATGACCTCTCAGAAGATACAGCTGAACACAGGATGATCCTGCGATTCCTTGTGGATGTAGCATGTAGAGGAGTCTGGATTATCGTGGCACTCCTAGCGTACCATCTCTTGCTACCAGTATGGGCGTAATTCACAGCTCCCTCAACCCTCAGCTTCCAAGCGATCGGGGATTGCTCTGTTGGGTGCCGGTTCACACTTGCATTCCTTGTAACAAGGACCGAAAACAAAGGCCCCACTAGAACACACACACACACACACACACACACTCACACCCTGGCCCGAAAAAGCCTGCGCTCGAGGGAACAGGGCGAGAGCCAGCAGAACCACCTCGAACATTGAGTGGGTTTGGCGGTTTAGGGAGGAGGGGGTCAACTACCCTTCCCGGTGCCCCAAAGTGCCCCAAACTCGAAAGATTTACAAAACCAAGTGCTCCTGATATCTTCCTCGTAGCCTAAACTCAAAACCTGCTACTGTGGGGTTCTTTGATTGCTTGGAGAGGAGGCGGAGAGGCTGGGTTCTGGGCTTTGGGTGTAGTTTACAGCTTGTGACCTACGGAGGATTGACGTATGCAGTCAGAGGAACTACGTCTTGGGGGTTGGAATGCTAAGATTCTTCCCTGCCCCCCCAAAACCCTGCTCTGATTATTAGGGCCCCTATATTACTTGAAGGTTAATGCGTAATGAATAGTCGGATGGTAATCTGACTTTTTGGGGTCCAGACACGCTGCAGCCCTGGAATAACCTATTCTTATCCATCACTATCTCAAACTATCTACTGTTGTCAGTTGTTATGGGCCCGGGATGCTGTACATGTAGCGTGTGCAAGCGTCAAAGTGAAAGCGCTGCGAAACACAGCGCCTTGGCCAGGGCGTAATTCTCAGTACGAGCGGCCCCGAGCGTGCAGGCGAGAGCGCCCCTAAACCCTAAACCCTAAACCCTAAACCCTAAACCCTAAACCCTAAACCCTAAACCCTAAACCCTAAACCCTAAACCCTAAACCCTAAACCCTAAACCCTAAACCCTAAACCCTAAACCCTCAACCGTAACGGCTTGGAGAGCAGTGTCTCAACGGGAAAAGCGTTTGCGGTTCGGACAATCGTGGTTGGCCCTGCAAGAACGGGAAGTTTAGTACATACCAAGGTCCGAATTACCTGCAGGAATGTATACGAAACAAGTCACAGCAAAGGCTCCCATGCCGAAGATGCCCGAAACCCCGGTGAAACCCCGAACCCCTCTTTGAGCCACATGAGAATACGCGCCTCTAGACTTAACATCTGTAGGTTGAAAAGCATGGGCCCTGAATTTGCAGTCCTATAGTGCAATGATCTGTACATATATATATATACACATTATATGTATATAGCGTATATTTTATATGTATTCGTTTAACTATGTAGTACCTTGCAAGTTTCCTGTAGTAGCACGTGGCAAGGCCTATCACTCTTCAAAGCCTATTTGGCAAACCCTAAACCCTAAACCCCAAAACCCTGCACCCAAATTGGACCTTGGAGAAGCGCTGTTGGTGTGCCAGGTGAATACGCAGAGGTGCCTGCCGGCCAGTCGGAGATCATCAAGAGCCCCCAAAACCTGTTTTTTTTGTAGGTTATTGTTGTAAAACCCCTTTTCTGATTCTCAGGTAACCTACAAACAAAGCAGGTTTGGGCTTCTTAAGGTAGGTTGATGCTGATTTGCATCTTGCCAGAGGGATAGGATTGGAAAGCTAGAGGACCCCAGAATGCCCCTCTCCAAACTTTAAAACGGCACAAGCTGTACCGGGCTGCACCCAGAGGCTCCTATGTCGTACCACTTTAACTACTAGGTTGCCCAGTAACCTAGGATGAAAAAGGGTGCCCTTTTTTGCATAAAGGGGTTTCTAAGGGAACCTAAACCTACCCAAAAAAGGGAGTAAGGGCACTACTGGGCATCCTAGCCTTGAACTAACCCGAAAAAGGAACCACCTTAGAGCCTTAGACTAACCCAAAAAGGAACTACCTTGGAGCCTTAGACTAACCCAAAAAGGAACTACCTTAGAGCCTTTAGGCAAGGCATTCAGCACGAGCTCCCCCGGAAGCCTCTCACCATGGAAGGCGTGGGCGGGTTTGCCAGCAGCGGCGTGGGCGGGTTTGCGCCGAAGACAAACGGAGACACTCCCGGAGACATGGGCCCTCTGCCTATTTTGATCTTGGAACCCTAGCAGAATTAAATGACATTTTAGCTGTACTTTTCGCTGTTTCGAAGGAATTATACTGCCCAAAGAAGGAAAAAATTGTTCCCAAGCATCCCTGAGCTGCTGGCAACGCTGGCCGGGGCGCTCCCGCTGCTCCCGGGCGCCGCGCTCCCCAGGCTCCCCGGCGCCATGCTCCCGACACTCGCCGGGCTGCGCATGCCGTAGGGCGTGGCCGCGTTGGACTCCGGGCGGTAGCTGGAAACGGATCGGTTGCCAGGTGTTTGCATCCCGGAGGTGGTTGTCTGAACAGAGCCAAGGCCCTTGTGGCGCTTGAGCTTGCCTTCGGGATCCGCATGCTCACCGCGCTTCTCCTTCAGGACCTGAACCTTGATCTTCCTGTCCTCCTTGTAGTCCCGCCGCAGCTTCTGCGAATTCCGCCATCCGATTCGCTTGAACCATGAGATCAGTTGGTCCAGCGAATCGAAGTTATTATTCCAGAGGCTGAAGCCACGAGGAGTGACTTCGATGAGCTCCTGCTTCACAGTTTTCCCCGAGACGCACCAGTGAAGTGCTCCGTGCCCCGGCTGCTCCTCGTGAAGGAGCAGGGAGTAGTGCAAGAGCGTGTTGTCGGCGCTGACGCGCATCATGGCCCTCTCCACCGAAGTCCTGTCGACCACTGTGCCGCTGCAGAGGCCGAATCTCTTGTGCTCCTGTAGAAGTCGCAAGTTGTCCATGATGGGATCCTGGAGCGGTTTTGAGTTTAGGGTCTAGGGTCTAGGGTCTAGGGTTTGGGGTTTGGGGTTTAGGGTTTAGCGGCTAGCGTGTAGGGCTTAGGGTTTAGGGAAGCTGACAAAGCTAGACTGCTGGCATGGCCAGCTACCCTAAACCCTAAACCCTAAACCCTAAACCCTAAACCCTAAACCCTAAACCCTAAACCCTAAACCGCGGTGGGGCTAAGGGATGCTGTCATTTCCCGGGTCCATATGCCGCGCAATGATCTCGTCGAAGTCCCGATAGAGGTACCCATCCACCTCCAGGAAAGGGAACATCAATAGGGTTTAGGGTTTAGGGTTTAGGGTTTAGGGTTTAGGGTTTAGGGTTTAGGGTTTAGGGTTTAGGGTTTAGGGTGTATTTAGGGTTTAGGCTTTTTTTATTTCAGGGTGTATTTAGGATTCATTTAGGGTTTAAGATTCGCAAGCACAGGAGTGAAGAAAACGGAGACTTCTGGGATCCCATTGAGGGAGAGGGGAGTGACAGAAGAGGGAGACCGGGGGGGCAACATGTGCTTGGAGGTTCATGGTACTTATTAACCAAGAATAGCTGTACTTCTAACTGCACTTAGAACCAGATTAGGGCACTTAAAGGGCTTGTAAGTGCAGTTAGCAGTACAGTCATAAATGGTTAATACGTACCATGAAGCTCCAAGTGAAGACTAAACCCTAAACCCTAAACCCTAAACCCTAAACCCTAAACCCTAAACCCTAAACCCTAAACCCTAAACCCTAAACCCTAAACCCTAAACCCTAAAGACAACAGCCAGACAACAGCTCCCGCGATCCCCTTGGATCCTGGAGGGCAGCAGTTGTAGAACCGCTTCGGTGGCTCACCGTTTCTACCAGCAACATCCCTGACCCCTAACCCTTAACTCAATTTAAGTTACCCTAAACCCTAAACCCTAAACCCTAAACCCTAAACCCTAAACTTAAACATCCAGCAACCCCTAAACTATTCGTCCAAATGGCAGGCCTCGAGTTCCCCTGCAACCTCGAAGCCCTCACCATAGGACCTTGCGAGCGTCTTCGGTTTCGGGTTTAGGGTTTAGGGTTAGGGTTTAGGCTTTAGGCTTTAGGATTTAGGCTTTAGGCTTTAGGCTTTAGGCTTTAGGCTTTAGGCTTTAGGCTTTAGGCTTTAGGGTTTAGGGTTTAGGGTTTAGGCTTTAGGATTTAGGGTTTAGGGTTTAGGGTTTAGGGTTCAGGTTTAAAGTTTAGGGTTCTGGATTTAGGGTTTAGGGTTTAGGGTTTAGGGTTAAGGGTTTAGGGTTTAGAGTTTAGGAGGGGTTCGTAAGCTTCGAGCGACTCTTGGGGCCATTTGTGGCGCTTGGGGCTAAGGGGCGCTCGGGCACTCCTCATTCGAAGGTTTAAGGGTTTAGGGTTTAGGGTTTAGGGTTTAGGGTTTAGGGTCACTCAGCTTCCTGGGGCGATGTTCAATATTCCCTTGCATTTTCTATAGCAACAAGAAGCAATTCCTGAGGTATAAGGAGGGACCCCCTAGAAGGCACCCTTCATCTTATTCCTCTGTATAACCCCTTATATATATATATATATTGCTTATATACCTAAGTAGCCCCTAAATAACCCCGAAAGGAACCCTGTAAGGTCCCTTAAACGGGTCCCCCCGCCTGTAGTCCCTTGACGTCTGGTATCCGTACTTTCATGGCTGAGGCCGCGTCCCAGCAGGTTGATCTAGGGTTTTGGGGGTCGACTGCCTAGGCTTCTAGGGTTGCTGAGCACCCTAAACCCTAAACCCCAAACCCTACACCCTCAAGCCCCCTGTAACTTGAAATTATTCAAAAATCCCAAAAACGAAGCTCCTCGAAATTTCCCCGGACCTGAACCCTGAATAATTTCAATAAACCCTAAACCCTAAGTAAACCCTCAACCCTAAACCCTAGCCCTAAACCCTAAACCCTAGGAGCTCCTCCATGCAGCACAGGCTAGGCTCGATTCTTGGATTCGGACTTGGTTTCCAGCTTCTCGAAGACATCGAACCTTCTGTAGCACCTAACACGAATGGCTGTAGCGTGTAAGCACCCCCTAAACCCTAAACCATAAACCCTAAACACCCTAAACACCCTAAACACCCTAAACCGTAAACCCTAATCGCAGAGTAGGCGATCATCAACAGTGCGAGCCTGTCTGCTTCCACTGTCCCTCCTGCGCCACTGGCAACTTCTTGGTCTTGAGTTGGAAGAACCTGCCCAGATTCGCGGTTCAGGGTTTAGGGTTTCGGGTAGAGTTCAGGGTTTAGGGTTTAGGGTGAAGTTCAGGGTTTAGGGTTTAGGGTATAACTTAGGGCATATATGGTTCCGTGTCCCGTGTCGGTAACCCCCCCCCCTCCCCCCTAAACCCTAAACCCTAAACCCTAAACCCTAAACCCTAAACCCTAGACCCTAAACCCTAAACCCTAAACCCTCAACCCTCAACCCTCAACCCTCAACCCAAACCCCAACCACACCACCCCACAGGGGGGGCCATGGGGGGGGGTGAGGGGGGACCATGGGGGGGGGGGGGGGGGGGGGGGATCAGGGAGGGACCCATGGGGGGGGGGGGGATCATGGGGGGGGGGGGGGGACCATGGGGGGTTGTGGGATTTAGGGCGTGTGGGTTCGGGGTGTGTCTTGAGGCACCGCAGCTTTGCGGCCTTGAGCATCGCGATTAGCATGTCGTGGTGCTTGGATGACCGGAAGAGCACCGTGCCTCAACACCCGAAACGCTCTTGGAGCTTTGTGCCCCGACTCAAGGACATTGCTAGTAGAAGTCGTCACCGTGGTGCTGGTGGTAGTATGTGATAGTGGGGTGGTGACGGCATTGCAATCGAGTACTGGTACTGATCGAAACAACTGCGATTGCTAAGCCGCAAGCCAAGCAAAAAGCTGTGCAAGGTGTGCACAGCGTGCATGTGATCTCCAACCTGGCGTGAAAGGTTTTCCACTCCTGTCCATGGCTTTGGCTTGTGGTGCACCCCTTTATTTTTAATTCATCTTCAACCGTTACCTTCAGAAAGCAAAAGAAAGGTCTAGAATGACGCCGTAGAAGGTGACAGAAATTGATGTCTCAAAGAGTAGCATGAAGAAAAACTTGAGCTTTGCAAATTGGGGTCCGCTTGCACAAGCAGCAGCAGATGCAAAGGCGGCTGTCGAAGCAGAAGCAGCAACAGCGGGAACAGGAGTGGGGCCAAACCCAGCAATCCTCCCCCCCCCCCCCCTCCCCAACCCCCCCCCCCCCCCCCCCCCCCCCCCCCCCCCCCCCCTCCCCCCCCCCCTCCCCCCCACTTCCCTCCCCCCTCCGCCTCCCCCCCCTCCCCCAACGCCCACCCACATTGACATGTTTCCTGTAACGAACGCACCGCTGGCAGCGACCAGCAGTCAAAGCATCATAATGCATGCATTCTTCTGTTCTCAGAGATGAAAGAAGGTGACCAAACCTATGAGTCTTCGTCTGTCAGGCGGCTTTCATCTGGTATGCTTATGCTTATCAGAAACCGCTCCATCCATGTGAGCGTGCAAGACTACTAGTGCTGCAACTTTGTCCTTCTCAAAGTTTACAGGTCTTGGCCTAAGGTTTGGGATTGAGGGATTTGGGCTGCACTGCGCATGGTTTCGGGTATGGGTGTGGGGTTTGGAATTGGGCTTCGGTTTAGGAAGCTATTTGCTGGGCCGTGTCAAGATTAAGTTTGGGGCCTTTGTGAAGTTTTCAGGCCTTTGGGCTTGTAAACGATACGCACGTAACCAATCCCCGGATACAACGAAAGACCGAAAAACTGCAAAAATGGCTAACTACTACCTCCTCCCTACTACTCCTCCTACTACTCCTACTCCTACTCCCTCCTACCTCCTACCTCCTACCTCCTACCTCCTACCTCCTACCTCCTACCTCCTACCTCCTATCTCCTATCTCCTACTCCTCCTCCTCCTACTCCCCTACTCCCACTCCTATGCTCCTGCCAGGACTTGTTAGTACTACGACGAATCTACGACAAATATTGCGACTAGTACTGCGACTGGTACTGCAACGACTACTACGACGACGGCGATGACAGCACCACCGCCGTCAACGCAGGGCATAGACAAGGACCAACGCCACAAGCACCACGGCCACCACGACCACGACGACAATCTGCTGCCGTCACCACGGACACCGCTCACTGCAACCGCACCACCACCAGCGGGGGGACCGCGCCCAAAACTGGGCACTCGTTGCTGCTCCAGCATGCCATAGAGAAGAGCAGCAAGCAGGGTGCAAGTTAAGGTGAAACCCGAAGCCAGCCTTCAAGCCCAGGGTCTGTTCCAAGTTCGCGTGTAGGATAATGTGAGAGAATAGGCCGTGACGGGGCTGTGCCGTGGTTTTTGGAAAGGCCTTAAGGTTTGGAAACATATCCCCCGACCTTCAACCCCAGCCTTAAACACCCACAAGGTGGAAAGGAAGCAGAGGCGAGGCAGGCCGGACCGACATTTCGTGGTTTCTGTCTTGACTTGCAAACTTTCGGCGCAAGGCTTGAAGATGTCTCTTCTGAACCCAGGAGTAACCTAGGAATAAAAAGGTAACCCTTTTTGGTCTTAAGGGGATTATAAGGGAACCCCAGCCCTAAAAAAAGGAAGTAAGGGCCTTCTCCGGGTCCTAGTATTCTTGGAACTTCGGGCTGAAGGTCGCGCATCATGAGCGATCCAAAGTACTTCAAAGTGAACCTGCGAAAAACGAAACAGACTGGTCGCCTCAGGTCCACGGAAAGCTTCAAGGAATATTATAAGGGGGCCTACCGACACCCTCCGGGGTCCTGCACTTTCTCCCTTATCACAGCCCAGGTGACAGTCGGCACATTGCATGCAACCGCGCCGAGGAGGTGTTCTCTTGCGCCAAGAGCCAGGATATGACGAGTTCGTAGCTAATAAGCGAGCGAAAACAAGCCCTCTCCAAACCCTAAACCCTGAACCCTAAACCCTAAACCCTCAACCTTTGCCACTAGTCTACCAATTAGAGCCTCCGGTTGGGCGAACTCTCGCCTTAAAGAACAAACTCTTGACAGCTTGAAGTCCTATGGGTAGCTACCTCCTTAGGGTTTGTCCCCTAGCTTCTTTCCAGGGCTCGGAAGTTTTGGAACATGGGTTTGAGGGTGTTTCGGGTTTAGGGTTTAGGGATACATGGTCCCACAATATGGTGGCTTCCGAAACTAGGGATACTTTTTTGGGTTTTAATTCGAAGGGGATCTTACTATTTGGGGGTCTATATGAGGGGTGCCTGACGATCGTAAACTCCCATATCGTTCCCTACCTTCTTGGTTTGGGGCTTAGGGTTTAGGGTTTAGGGTTTAGGGTTTAGGGTTTAGGGTTTAGGGTTTAGGGTTTAGGCATTAGGGTTTAGGGTTTAGGTTATAGGGTTTAAAGCTTAGGGCTTAGGGCTTAGGGCTTAGGCCTTCGGGTTGGACTGTCGAGGAGGGTGGGAGGTTCAGTGGGCGGGGGGGAAACCCCTTAAAGCAGCTGCAACATTCTGTGACACCTCGCACCATCCATTCAAGAGGCAGAGAGGGAAGTCTCGCAAGTGCCCAAAAAAGTTTAGGATTTGGGGGTTTAGGGTTTAGGGTTCAGGGTTGAGGACCACACAGATGCAAACCCGAAACTGCTGCGTTCTGCCAGAGGAAACAGGCCAGAGTCACCACGTAGTTGGGATGCTTGATGTTTCGCGGTCGTCTAACCCAGTCCTTCAACTTTGCCTTCTTCTGCCTGCCAGGTGCTGCGCAAGCAAAACCCTACAATATGCCCCAGACTATAGGGTTTAGGGTTTAGGGTTTAGGGTTTAGGGTTAGGGTGTAGGGTTTAGGGTTTAGGTTTTAGGGTTTAGGAAAAAGCCATTGAAAAGCCCGACGTGCGAAATGAAACATCATGAGCCTTGAAGCCATGAGGGACTTCAGAGGCCGAATTTTACAAGTTTGGGGGGCTTAGGGTTCAGGGTTTAGGGTTGAGTTCTATTTTTTTTTAGGGTTTAGGGTTTAGGGTTTAGGGTTTAGGGTTTAGGGTTTAGGGTTTAGGGTTTAGGGTTTAGGGTTTAGGGTTTAGGGTTGAGGCCTTTAAAACCCGAAGCCTACTTCGAAGGTTGATTCTTCAAAGGGTTCGAGTTACTCAGCTGCCTCAAAGACTCAACTTGCCACGGCCCTGAACCCCAAACCCTGAACCGTAAACCCTAAACCTGAAACTCCCCAAACATGTCTGCGGCACATCTCAGAATTGTCCATGAGCCCCAACGGGACCTTGCGGGAAAACCTACTCGCCCTAAACCCTAAACCCTAAACCCCAAACCCCAAACCCTAAACCCTAAACCCCAAACTCAAGGTTGGCACCTTACATCCTCAGAATTCGTAACTATGACCTTCCTCAACCCAAAGCTTCCTAAGGGGGAATATGCCGAGGTCCTAACAAGGACTCCCTGATAGGTTTAGGGTTTATAAGGGTTTAGGGTTTAGGGCTTAGGGCTTAGGGTTTAGGGTTTCGGGTTTAGGGTTTAGGGATGTGTGCGTGGGGTGGGACAGAGGGCTTTGCTCGAGGGACTGTAGGAGTTGCTTGTGGGGAGTTGGGGGGGGTGGGGGGTTCTAAACGGCAGTACTTGTTTTGTCTAATGATGAGGCTTAGAGAATTTATTGGGGGGATGGTGGGGGGTACCCTATTCTGGGAAATACCCATATTCGCCAAGCGCTGCCGACATGTTCGCTGTACGTCTGAAACATGATCAGCACACACGCTGGCACAGCGCGTAAGAGAGATCGCCAAACAGGTGCTCTTTGTTGTTCAGCTTCTGCTTTTCTGCATGGTTTGGGCAGTTTGGGCTTGAGGGTTTCGGGGTTTTGAGGCGAAGCAAGGCGTATCAGAGTCATAGGGGTAGCACCTAATTCCTGGCATGCTGAGCAGGTTGAGGAAAGCCCTACATGGAGGCTCCTTCCGTTGTAGCTGGAGCTATCAGTAGTCTGTACCCAGACAGAGCTAGTATAGAGGCCTTAGTGATTAGAACAGGGTGTTGGCGGTTATTATCGTATAACTATAAAGGGACCACAAGGGAAAACCATTAGTAATTATTCGGACCCCTGAGAATAATTCCATTCGCGAACCCTAAACCCTACACCCTAAACCCTACACCCTGAACCCTAAACCCTAAACCCTAAACCCTCTAATCACATGTTGAGGCAAAGGAGCCGCTGCGGCTCCTTCGTGCATAGCCGAGTTTGGCCCTTGAAACCCTCTGAGAATCCGAAATAGGATCCTCTTTAGCTCCAAATACAGGAAAGCTAAACCCTAAACCCTAAACCCTAAACCCTAAACCCTAAACACAAGGGGCCTACCGGATAGAAAAGTGCCAGAGTCTCATGCCCCCCATCCCCCCCCTCGAATTGGTCCTCAAAATAATGACTGGAGTTAATTGCTTGGGATCTTCCCCCTTATCCTAACAGTCCTTCATCGGAACAATACAACCCTCTTTCGTCATCCCTACTAAGAAGGACTGTAAGTATAAGGGGGAACATCCCAAGAATTACGCCCAACCTTGATGTCATGTGTTCCGTACTAGTACTGGGGGTTGTGCTTGGGACCGTTAGGGTTGTACCCCTTGGGTTTTGGGGACCCTTTTGTAGGTCCCCCCCCCCCCCAGATTCTGCTTTGGTTTCCAGCGTTTTGAGGGTCT